TTATTAGTGGTGAAGTGTTACTTCAGCCTATGTAAGTCAATATTGATCAGAGTGTTTTGATACATTACAGACAAAAGGTTGTCTTGGCAGCCCCCAGTCTCAGGGTGGCTGGAATCCCAAGAATGAATGTGCTATGGAAAATGGGTGTTGGGTGACTGAGTGTGTGTGCAAGGAGACTTGAGTGAGAGTAGCCATAAGGAGGGTGCACGTTGGTTAGGTGTCCTGTGTGTTGGGCAGGGTGCTTGGCTTGGGTCTATAATTTGGGAGCAGGCAGAGTAATGATGTACTACTACATGAAGCACCTAGAAATAAGCACCAGTTTTAATGTGTGAGTTAACAGGGAAATCTGTTGGTTAGAACTGGGTTCCCTTCACATGTGTGAATTGTTGCCATGTGGGATTTTTCCTGTTTCTGTAAAGTCACTGTGTTGCTTTTCCAGATGAAGCTCTTGAGGAAGAACTGGATTCCATGGCAAAGCATGAATCTAGGGAAGATAACATTTTCCAGAAGTTCAAAGCTCAGATAGCCCTTGAACCAGAGCAGGTAAAAGAGAATTTATACCTCTTCACTTTATTTTTCTGTTTTGTTTGGTGAGTGTGGTCCCTGAGAAGTGACTCCTAAGCTAGTCTCTTCCTTCAAAGTCCACAGACATCTTGCTACTGTGGTATTTGTACAGATGGGGCACACAGAAAGGTGCTTTTGCACTTATTCTCCACTTCACATTCCTGAATTCCTAAAGGTATACTGTTTATCACACAGGATTCATTTTCTAAAGCAAGCATCAGCCATGAGAGATGCAGTATTGCCTAAGATACATGACATTTAGACACCACTGGCTATGCGCGCGTGCGCATGTGCGCGCACACACACACACACAGAGCCAATTCTCCAACAGATAAACACTTTCCTCTATAACTTCCTTCACCACAAATACATACCTAAGATAACTCAGCTATATTCCTAAAAACCAGTCACGGAATCAATTTATAGGAAGGATTTGACCTTGACCTATATTCCAAACACCAAGAAGGTGGTTTTTAGCAATGATTCTGCTTTTAACAAGACAGCCACTTGATTGTTTTGGGAAGCTGATTTCAATGAATTTATTATAGGCACCGTGTTTCACTAGGTATTTGTCCTTTTGGAAATGCTTCAAGTTCCTTACATGTGTTTGAAGGTAAGTACCAACTCAGGCAGCATTTTGTATAGGAAGGGGAGTCACACAATGTACTTCCTAGATGAGGATTCTGATGGGCTAGGAAGAGAAGGCATCATGTAGGAAAGTAGCTGAAGTAGTGGCTTTGAGCCAGTTGAGGCAGCATTACCGTAMACACCGTGAACTGCCTTTCAGGTGAGAGCCACATCACACACTGTGGAGCCTGTGCAGCCCCCTAGATGATAAATCAGAAATTTCTACCACTGGAAACCATTGGGTGAGGTGTTCCTGTTTGAATGTGGTCCTTGCTGATTTTAGATTCTCAGATACGGCAGGGGTACTGAGCCCATCTGGATTTCTGGTGAAAACATCCCTCAAGAGGAGGATATTCCCAACTGTCCCTGTGGTGCCAAGAGAATATTTGAATTCCAGGTATGGCCTTAAGTTAGGACTATTTTAGTGTATAATCACCCTGCTTTGTTTCTGAACATTTAGAAACTTTACCAAAGTAGCAGGTGCCCATGGGACAGTAGTAATACAGAAAGTGCCCTGTGGTGATGGGAGCAGATGGTGTTCTATGCCACAAGGCATCTTACTCACCCCCATGTCACTCTCCTCAGGTCATGCCACAGCTCCTGAACCACCTCAAGGCAGACAGACTGGGCAAGAGTGTTGACTGGGGCATCCTGGCTGTCTTCACCTGCGCCGAGAACTGTAGCTTGGGCACTGGCTACACAGAGGAATTTGTATGGAAGCAGGATGTAACAGATACACCTTAAAGACATCTTCAAGCCCTAAAAAAGGTTACTAACATCTTACGGCCTTGCAATTCCATCTCTGATTTTATCCCTAAGAAAGTAACTGTACCAGAGATGGAGGAACAAAGATGTGGCTTGGGGCCTTGTTTAGTGTTAAATATTTCTAAAACAATGTCCAGTAATGGAATTACGTGAATTTGGGTACATCCAAGTGAAAGGTTATTAATGATACACACTTAACACGGACACCAAATGAGCGGGAGGTCTAAATTAACACCAAGCGACCATTATATCATGGTATGTGTTTTTGTGAAAATATTTATACATGTATATGTACAAAAATATAAATTTGAATATAAATATAAAGCTGCACACAACTATGAACTGGTTTATCTATGAACAGTGGGACTAAGTGAAATAGTCTTTTTACTGTGTACTATTCTTGTATAATAAAATGGGTTTTGTGCCTTTTTAAGTCAAACCATCTCACTCAGAGCACTTTTCCACCTGTATTTGCAAAGGCAAAGAGAGAGCTAGGTAAAATTCTAATGGACTATTGTTTGAGGACAGAACACATTGAGATACCCAGGAACTAAAGCAGCAACAGAGCCTGAAAGGAAAGTGGCACCATCCAGGACTGACCTTTGTCAGCCAGGGGCCCTGCCTACAGAGAAGACAGACGCCATAGTCTGCCTTCATCAAGGAACTGGACAGAGTGAGTGCCTGCCAGGGAGCAGCCTGAGGCAAGCAATGGTTGGCTTCAAATGGGCCACGTTCTTTCTGGTCCATCTGTAGACAAGTAGCCAAAAGGCTGGTTTCATGCTCACATTCCTTTTAGCCCAGAGTGGCTTCAGAGGGACAGGGTGGTGGTGGCTTTGAAGCTGGGTGCTCAGTAGGCGACAGCCACCACATGCTGCTAGAGGTTATTGTCATCAGCTAGTGGCAAAAGTTGGTCACAGCACTTGGTGGGAAAGGCAATGGTTTGGGTCTTTGTGTCCCAAAAGAAATAATTACTTAGAATGTGTTAGGGTCTAAATGGTAAGAGCTGCTATTTAGGGACATTAAAAATTAATAATACCACATAAAAATTTTGAATATGTTAAGCAACTTCATTGCCACTCACAACATTTGAAAACACCATAAAATAAGCACATCACCACATTGCCATGCTCCTACAGGTGTCAATCACTGCCATCTAACATACTCAAGTGCCCTGCCTGGCTCACACACTGCCTACTCTAGAGAGCAACGTGCTCCACTCTGCCTTTTTATCTCAGATATCTTAGTGCTGGTGTAACAATCCTTTGACAGTTTCAGAGATGTGTTGGGGAGTCACACAGACTGTGTGTTTGTAAATGTGGGTGAAGTAAATGAGCAATTGCAAGGTACTGGGCATAATAGCATAAACTCATCAGGCTGAGGCAGGAGGAACACAAGTTCAAAGCAACATCAAGGTGCTAAGCAACTCTCTAATAAAGTATAAGATAGGGCTAGGGATGTGGCTCAGTGATTGAGGCCCAAATTTAATCCTCAGTACCCACCCCCACCAAATTCTAGCTAATAAATGAAAGATTAAAATTCCATCATTTTGCAACCCACTAATGAATTACAGCCCTAGGAATTACACAGCTGTATCTGTAGTAAATATATGCTAAATGAGCATGAGTCTATAGCTGGCAAAACCCAGATAAGCTCTACAAGCCATCTAGCCAGTGTTAGTGTCTAGGAGTTTCTGTGGACTCTGGATAGACAAGTGTGAAAAGTGCCTCTGGGCCACTTTGCACCTTATGCTGAGCATTCATACAAGATTTTAAATCTCAAGAGTCCCCRGCCTCTGAGATAAGCACTAAAAAAAATAAAATTATTATTTAAAGACCACTGCATGTCTAGAACTTGTGGTGCAACCAACTACTAAGTTTAGTAATATGACCACCACCTTTTAAACTTTTCATGAAAAAATTTCACTAAGAACTCAACAGAAACCATAATGTATTTAGGAATTGAGGAATTGTGAAATGTTGAAGCCACGTATAAAAAAATCATGGAACTTTTGCTCAAGAAAGAACAGAGAGATCTACTTACAGGGAGAGGCATTGCTTTCTTGGACAGATAATCTTCCCAAATGTGCCATGTGACAGAAATACAAGCAAAGGGTATTCTATACACTGCTGCCTTTGGGCTGTAACCTGGKATGACCTATCAACACTAAGAATGTATAAATGACCTTCAACATGGCAGTTCTCATCTGAGAGTTTTGTCCAAAACAGGGGCACTCCCTGAAGCCCTGTGTATAGCAGTGAGCTCTGGACACAACAAGAATGACCATGGTGCAACTAATGCAGGTTGGAGATGTGTTCGATAGACTGTAAAGGCACAAAACCAAACACATACCTTAATACATTTCTCCAAAAGTGGTATCATAGCACCCTCAAAGGACAGACTTGCAGAGGGCAAGGCTTGGAATATAGTTACCCCGGAGAAACAGGCAGAGGGGCAAGGAAGGACAGACGTCTCTTTGATTACATTCCTTGAGCTGTGTGTGATGTATTTTTTACTATACATACTCTGGTTTACAAAAGGAAAAAAAAAATACGGAATGAAACCCAAGAACTTATGTCCATCTGAAAAGAACAAATAAAAACCTTTACTAGCTGGACGTGGTGTCACCCCACTGGCTCAGGAGGCTGCAGCAGGAGTATCACAAGTTCAAGGTCAGCCTTAGCAACCTAGCAAGACCCTGTCTCAAAATGAAAAATAAAAAGCCCTCAATAGAAACGATGCACCAAGCACCAGCCCCACACCTGGAGGATGAGGCCTTCTGCCCTTCAGCAGCTTTGTGAGCTGAAGTGGGTCCTGCAGAAGGCAGCCCCACCTCTAGAGGAGGAACAGGCCTGAAGAACTGTGGGTTTCGGGCCCTGTGCACAGGAATGCACTGCCAAGTGTAGACAGAGGCAGATGCCAAAGCTATCTCAGGCACTGTCTAAAGTAGGTGTTTTAAACAGTGAGACCACGTGACTCTTGGAAGGTATCATTCATAACAACAATTAACACTCTTATAAACTGCATTTATTATACAGAGTACTCTGAAGAAAGAAAAATATGTACAGCCATTTGTTTTCATTAATACATCTGTTCTGTCCTGCAATACTGGAAAGGCGGAATGTGTCTGGCACAAAAAATAACCCCTAAAGTTACAAATTAGAAAAACAACACTTTTAAAAAAGATTTTTTACTTTTCTGGTAGAAATATAAAAACTATGGTTTATGGGGGCAGGGGAATTAAACAAATAAGAAGTCCAATTGTACAGGTGGCTTTAACACTTCTGTCCCTTACACCAACCAACTTGCCAACAGCAGTGTTTGAAATCTAAATATAAATAAATGGGCAGCGTCGCCCACATAGCAGCACAGGCGTGCAACTCTCAGCAGTGCTGCGGGAGTCCCAGAGCAGCAGCAGCTCCTCCCACATCCTGCAGAGGGCCACAAAAGATCGGCCTGGTGTAGCAGGCTGCACCTGAAAGAGCCCAGGAACAGTACCAAGCTGATTCGCTGAAAAGCAAGTGGGTGGGGCAAGTATGGTGGTGGCAGCCACTACGTAGTCTTCCTGAATCCCTTCAGAATGGGGTAGATGTTCTCAAACGCTTCATAAATTTCTGCTCTGACTTTAGCACCTACAAAGGAGGACATATTGGAGCAGAGAGTGTGAAATGGCATCTCTCAGCAGTGTGAGACAGAAAAATCACTTCCTTAAAACTCCAAGTACCATCCTCTCCAAACCCAGTTAATTAACAGATGCAGACATCGAAACACTACTGGCAGGGCCCCTTGCCGAGGTCCTAAGTTTATTTCTAAAACAATATGCACTGTTAGGCAATGCAGCTGGAGATGACGCCAGGCACAAGGCAGGCAGGGAGAACCACTGTCACCTCGATGGCTGCCTCCAGCCAAGCTCTTCTCAGTCTTCCTTTGCTGCCTCAAAATGGTGTTGTTTACAGGCCTCAGTGTCACAAGTCACAGGGCTAACCCCAATGACAAAAGATAGGCATCCTGCCCCTTCCCTGCTGGAGGCTGCCGCACTTCCCCTCCAAAGGGCAGCATTAGGGTGGGAGAAAGAGAGGAATAGGGCAAAGGCAACTGCTAAGGACCACCAGAAAAGCCACCCTCGAAACTCACACTTGCAGACACTGCTCCCCACTGCACYTTACCTGTTAACACAACCTTCCCAGAAACAAAGATAAGGAGCACGATTCTGGGTTTGATCATTCTGTAGATTAATCCAGGAAATAGCTCTGGCTCATAACTAGAAGGAAAATGGCAGAAACAAGTTAGAAGTCGTGAGCTTCCTATTTCCAGATGGAATGAGGACTGAACAAGGGAAACATTGAATAGGTGCACGAACCAGGCCATAGAGCCTCCTCAGGGCAAGGCCACCGTGCCCAACATGGAAGCCCAGCTGGCCATCCTCCTGTGCCTGTCTCTTTCTACTGAACTGGGTTTTCTGTGTAAGACAGGAGCTGTGTCTATATTCTGCTCCCTGATCTGTGTCCATATTCATCCTGGGCAAGCTATTTCCACTTACTACAGTCTCTATGTACTTCTAGGAGCTGAGAGTGACAACCGCCTTTGATGGTATCTCGCCTCCTTAAGCTGTCAGTACTGGCCAGGCAGCTTGAAAAGGAACCTACCCATAGTGACGCTGGCTACCCAATGAACTTGGTCTCTCACATTTGCTGCTTCAGAGAATAAAAGTAGGATGTCACCCTGTGTCTGTGTGTTGAGTGGCATAGTGGGGAGTTTCCCAGGTGAAAAGTGAAACTGTACCAGGGATAAAAGTAGCATGTGCCGCTGGGGCACAAGGGGCGGAGCAYGAGTGGTGTGGTGGTCAATGGAGAAGAGAAGATGGTAGCGGGAGATGAGGCTGCATGATGGGCTGCCCCATGAGTCTGCAACAGCAAGCAGCAGGGACAACTAGAGGTGACTCTGCTCGTAGGTCTGATGTAATGCTGATGAAAAGAAGAGCATCAAATTGCAGGAAAAGTAACACAAGGGACTGTAGCTCCAATCCATGTGTTTAAAATGTATTGACTGAGCAACAAAATGATAAGGACACACAAGTGGAATACAGTTCATTCCATTAAAGCGACTGAGTCATCTCAGTAACATGGGAGGTTAAGAGGCAGATGTAGCAGCAGCAGTCCAGTACTATACCTGTGTTCACACACTACCTCGGCATGGACTTCCCCTGAACCAGGTTTAAGTGGCTTATGAATGAACTCTGGCCGAAGGCTACCCAGCACACCTTAGACTTACCTGCTGAACTGCTGGTGAGTGAGCACGAGGCCTTCCAGCCTTATGGGGAACTTCACATCACAGCTCCCCACCATGTTCTGGATCTTGAAATCTAAGAACTTCGCGGGGAAACCCAACTTCTGCACAACTCTGGCATACTTTCTTGCTGCTAGTCTGGACTGTTCTTCACTAGACAAAGGGGGAAAGCAAGTTATTTGTATTGAAGCCAGCTGCAATAATTATTTAGATGAGTAACACAAAAAGTCCAAATTAGCAAACTAACTAAACCTTTCACTCTCTTCCTAATAGGAGGGAAAGATCAACCCTCATTGACAACATCATCGAGTACTSCTGTGTGCTCACAAACTGCAGGCCTACCAAGCAGTCTTTCCACCAGCCAGACTGCCAGAACTGCTGCATTCCTGCATTCTGGCCCACAGATTTCTACCATCTATCTCTCTTAACCCACAGTTCTTCATGAATTTGATATTCAGAAACTTTTTACATAGGGATTTTTTTCATCAGCAGTTTTGATGTTGCATTATCTTACCCCAAATGCAACTGAACTGCATGGATGAATAAGTGCTGCAACATGTGTCTAAACTCATGATAATGTTAACAAAAGGAAAGCATTGCTATCTGAAGTGAGTAGAACCACATGCCAGGTTAACCATAATGTGGTGGCACTGGAAAGTAACCTGCTGAAGTGTGAGCTCAACAACAAGAAGCCAAGAGACTGTGCAACAGGAAAGGAAACCCTCAACTACCTCTTGGCTCCTGTGCACACCATTTTCCCAGAGCTGAAGATGAGTGCTGTGGTCCGCGGCTCCCGTATCCTCATGATTACGGCTGCAAACCGCTAAAAGGGTCAGAGAGAAGCATTAGTGGGATCATCCAAACTGTTGGGTTTGCTGGAACTAGAAAGTGACAAAGAATATCACAACAAATAGGAAAGATCCAGCACATACGATTATCTGTTCTGAATTTCTGTATAGGTCAAGGCAACAGAACAGCCACCGTGAGACCAGGCCACACCAAGGTCTGCCATGTTCTTTCACACATGCATCCCACCACCAAAGCTAACAGTTACACAAATTGGCTCTGGGTATTCTGCTTTTGTTTTATTGTCTGTTGTTTTGCAGTGCTGGGGATGAACCCAGGGCCTCGTGCATGCAAAGCAGGCACTGTGCTACCAGGCTACACTCTCAACCCAGTTCTTTATATTCAATAAACACCAGAAACTGTTTCTATCTTATATTTGCTGTTTATCATGACTAGCATCTGTAAATATAAATTTTCAGTTTATATACAAACCTTCAGTCAAATAAACTAGTAAGCCTTTTCTACTTCCTCAGAGGATTAATAAGCCAGATTATAAGTATATCAATATGTAATGAAGTAAGATCCTATTTGGAGCTGGCCTTTAGAATACTAAAATATTAAACAATTATAAATGCAAAGTGAGAAAAAAAAGTTTTTTACTTTTCTGTTATTTATGTTTTAAACATGTTGGTTTTTTTTTTTTTTTTTTACAGAGAGAGAAAGAGAGAGAGAATTTTTTAGTATTTTTATTTTTTTTTTAGTTATTGGCGGACACAACATCTTTGTTTGTATGTGGTGCTGAGGATCGAACCCGGGCCGCACGCATGCCAGGCGAGTGCGCTACCGCTTGAGCCACATCCCCAGCCCCAAACATGTTGGCTCTTTTAAAACATTTTCTTGCTAACATTTTAATTCACAGGGAAAATCTTTCAATGGTGGATTGAGTTAATGGCCTCAGTTACAAAAAACAAGGCARAACTTTATTTTCAAATAGCTTAAATTTTTAATATATGATATTTTCTCTTTTGGTACTAGGGATTGGGGATGGAATCCAGGGGCCTTCTATCCCTAGTCCTTTGTATTTTTTATTTTGAGACAGGGTCTCACTAAATTCCTCACGCTGGTCTGAAATTTGGTGATTCTCCTGCCTACACTTCCCAAGTAGCTGGAATTATAGGTGTGACCATCGCACCATCGTATCAGCTGAAATGATATTTAATTAATAATTAATTTAATTAATAATTAAATACGAAAAGATCCTTAATATTTCTAATCAAGATGACTCCCCCCCAGACTGAACCCAATGCCTCAGGCATGACAACACTCTACCATTGAGCTATGCTCCCAACCCCCAAGATAACTCACTGACAAATTAGATTGCTTTGACATTTTTAATTTAAAACTATTGCATCTTCCCCCCCTCCTTACCCACAAAAATGCTAGCAGTATGTTCTAGATCGCATGACTCCCAAGATAAGCCCAATTTCTCAGAATCTCCTAAGTTTCTTCTATATTTTTAATTGGTCAAATAACTACCAGCACTTCCTTAGAGACTGAAAAATGATGCACTGAACTCAGACTGCGATGAGCCAAGACTCATCTCCAGGTGCTTGGTGTGATGCAGACTCACTGACAGGATAATGGTGGATGGTGCCTCAGCTTAGCTCCCTGAGAGCTTAAGACCAAGAACAAACATCTTCGGCTACTGGACAATTTAAGATAAAGACACAAATTCCTGTCACTGAACAGTTTTTATCTCATTTTTTTATGTTATAACTAGCAGAAATGATTGAGACCATATGAGGTACTATAGTCAAGGAGATATTTTTGTTTTCTTATTAAGGAAACTATTAGTTTATTAATATGTTTTAATTCAACATAATATGTACATATATATTTACCTATTTTAAAGTCAAAGGTAAAACCCTCAAAAAAATCCAATAATTCTTATACTTTTTTTAAAAAAATTTTAAGTTGTAGATGGAAACAATAGCTTTATTTTATTTATTTATTTTTATGTGGTGCTGACGATCGAATCCAGTGCCTCACAYGTGAGAGGCAAGCTCTTGACCACTGAGCCACAATCCCAGCCCTGATATACCTTATTTTTTTAAAAAAATTTTTTGCTCAATTCAAAATAAAATTGTTAGATCCCTTTTACACCTAAACAACTCCTGTATTTTCCTAAATGGACACTTAGAAGACCCAAAGAGATTAAAATAATTAGGCATATTTAATGTATTCCATATTTTAAGTAGCCCAACTTACTAGTTAACTAAAACACCCCCAAATCTGAAAACTGATTTCTTTCTTGACTGATTAGCACAGCGACTCTAACCTCCACCTATGCCTGGTTTCTCASTGTACTAAAGGTCCAGGTCTCGTGATGCCTTGGGGATTTGGGACGCACCCAAGTCCAACAGGCTGTTCACCCACAGTGCATATCTGCCACAGCTGGCAACAACCCTCATCTGCCTCCTGTGCACAGATCATGTCCAACTCACCAAGGTGTGGCTCTGGATAGTCAGTGTTACAGTGTTGTAAAAGCAACACACATTCAACATACACCACAGTTCATACACAGTACAATACTATCAAGCTGCTGGGTGACAGCAGCTGGCAGTGTCCCTAAGCCATGCCATGGTGAGGGAAACTGGCAAGGCAGTCATCTGAGGGCAGGTGGTGGGCCCAGGAGGAGATGAAATGCCCTCACAAGCTAAGGAACATCTGCACTAGGAAGTACTACTCCTAGTAGTACTAAACCCAGCTCCTTTATTTCCCTTCTGTTGCCTGAAAAGGGGTTGACCATCAAACTAAACTCTTCTCATTCACAGACATACAATTATCAAGATGCAACTATGTTGATACAGTATAACTTCTGCATATGAAACACTATTACTAATAGGTCTTCTTATTAGATGTTCACAAATAAATAGCTGCATTAATTGTAGATGAGCCTTTGCAGTATGTCATCATAAAAATAAAATGTTACCCCAATTAAAGTACTAAAAACCAAGGACTTGCTKGAGGAAACCAGACTTTGGAGAACACAGGCCTGCATTCGAACTCTCGCTGTCAGTTTTGCTGCCAAGGCATCAAAAAGATAATCTGTCTGCTACTCTTCCAGGTTGCAGGGGAGAAGCAGAAAGTCAATCATCATCTTTGCTTTATATTTTATCTAAATATCTCAAAATGGCCAATCTCATCCAAAATCACCTTTGAATTTCACTTATACATGTGTAGAAAAACACATAAGCCGCCACCACCACTGCAAAAAAATAAACAAAACATAGTGAAAGAACTTGAACTTTAGAAGTCCAACAAATTATCAAAACTGACTGGGTAACAGAGGTCCAGGTAAGAGAACTTTCCCAACTTTTCACTGCCCAACACGAGAATCTGCATAGAAGTTTGTTCACCTTGTCTTATTTGGATAAATACTTCCAACTAACCAATTAAAAAAAAAAAAAAGCTGGTTAGCTGAAAGTAACCAAGCTGATTTGTGGTGGTTATTCTCCTGGTTAGCTTTCAGCCAATTAGATGAAAAGTCAGTTCCACATGTTTACTGATAGTTACGACTGCCCTGCCCTTTGCTACCTCCCAACAACCAGCTGCTTAGATGCTGCTACACAGCTACTGCTTCAAGACATTTGACCAAGGAAATCACAGGAGAAAGCACAATACCCAAGTTCAACCTGCACTGGGAGTTTGACCCAAAGGTGAGAGCTGAGGCACACCCGCAGGGTGTTCGCGAACTGGGCAAACCCAGGTGGGCAGTGACTCCAGCAGACACGCATAACTCAGGCAAACTCCCAGGGCTTCTTGAGATTCCAAGAGTAACTCAATGTGTCCTCTGCTGATCTGCCCAGCTGCACAGGACAGAACAGCTTGACTGGCCAGCATCTATCTAACGATGAAAAACAGAGACCACATTTTAAAACAGTCCCAGTTTCTCCTTCTCCTCTCTCTTCTTTTCCTTACATAAAATTTGTTTTCTTTTGTTAGAAGCATTCGAGTCAACACTGGTCTCCCTGGCACCTGATGCCTCTCTGGTGTACATGCTCCAATGCAGGGCCCTGCTTCTGCAGGACAAGCTCCTCCACCTGGGCACTTCCTTCCAATGTCCACTCATTTCTTAATGCAAAGGTTTACTTTGTTAGAAAATACTTCCACTGGCACAGTAATCTCTCCTAGAATCTCTTTACTACAAAAAAATGTAAAAGTGATAGAAAGGTAGAAGACCATATCACAATAAGCTGTCTTATCCTTATCAACTTCAACAACTACCAACTCTTGGCTTACCTTGCTTCATTCACACCCCTCCCACAGGATTAATGAAGGAAACACACCCTGCCATTCTTAATGGTTCATAATGTAATAAATGGGTTCAGATTCTGCTCTCCAGCTTCAAGTGGTCTGACAAGTGTATATAAACTTGCTTCACCTTGCACAATGCTAAATCCCAAGGGACTCACATTTAGCAGCTACAAATTAAAATGTGAATAGAATGAAGTTCTTCTATTCACTGAACCTCAAATATTAAAATGATACCTTTTCCTCTAGAGCCTCATTTTGCTGCTATCAAGAACCTTAAGCACAATACAAACTTTCTGACCCAGAGACAACTATAAGGAAATTCAGTTTTACCAAACAGTTTGAAATACGTGAAAATGCTCTGACCTTGGGGTTATATTCAGCATTTCGGGCACGAAGTGCAATGGTCTTCAGGTCAAGTTTACAACCAAGATTTACTGTGGATACTATATTTCTGAAAGAAATTTGAAAAGAAAACATGATGATTTAGATTATTTAACTTTTACACAATGAAGTATTAAATGCTGATCTAGGAGCCTTGTTCTTTCACTAGGCTTTAAGGAACTGCTGACCCTGTTGAGTGTCTATCAAGGATCCCATGGCATGCTGAGCACCTCACACACTGGCCTCAGAACTCACAGCACACTAGCGGGCAGCAACTGCCAACACCACACGTTCAGATAAAGAATGGAGGCTTCCAGGGAGCACCCTGTGTTCCAAGTGTGGAGCCAGAACCTGAGCCTGTTTCCACCCCTGCCCTCCACTTACCCCTTCCTTGGCTTGCTCCCAGAGAGCCAGCACCAGCCCAACCTAAATCACTATCTGTAATGAAAACAGGCAGGCAAGGACTTCCTCAGTCCTTTACAAGTAAGTTATCTTTTGGAAGAACAAGAATTCAGTTTCTTTAGCAAAGCAAAGGGGCCTGATTTCTCTTCTGATTAGCCTCAGTAAATCAAGATAACCTTCTGGGACTGAGGAACCCTTTTCATTTTTTAGCATTCTTGAATTGTTTCATGAATAACTCACAAAAGAATAAAGACAGGTTTGAAAATCAACTTCATTAGAAACTTAAATAAAAAGGGAAACATGGCAAACTCAGAATTTTTGTTCCATATTTTCCTGGATTTGAAAGCATATAGACTTGAAACGACCAACGCCAAGGACCTAGATCTTTACCACCTAAGAATTCTGATTCCAGAATTCAGGAAGGAGAGATCCTACCTTCACTGCTGAAGTGAAAAAGCATCACTGTCAGAAAGCAGTTCTCTTGAAACTGGATGGCTCATAATTTACTAAGAGGAGGACAGTAAGTAGTCTTTTCTGATACACACTCCTAAAGCCAGTTAGGCTGTGTTTTCTACATCATTTCTACATTTCTACATCAGATCTTCCTTCCYGTCACTCTGCGTACAGACCTGCCTTCAACATGAATCCATCTACAAACTGTGTCAAATAAACTCTGGTGCATCTATCACAAATTCAGTCATATSTTTGGTAAATGCATTCTTATATGTTTTCATTAAATATTTACCTCAACTCTTCACAAACCTACAACATTTAGATCAATAGGGCTCTGAATAGACAGTGAAAACTAAGTAACTTAGCTGACTAAATGTCCAGGGAATGTCAGAAACCACTGCCCACCCCCCCCCACCCCCAACAGGTGTCATTTATGACTTCAGCCACAGAGCAATCCTGAATGCCCATGGAAGTCAACAGCATTCAGGACTATGGGAGCAACAAGGAGAAAAGTGAGCTAGCAGGGCTTATCACTCCAAAGCCACAAAAATAAACATGATTTTGTTTTTAAAACTCTGTGGGGTCAAAAAGAGAACCCAGATTCAGTACTTTGGGTAACAATTAGGATCTATGATCACACACTACTTAGTTCCAAAAATGATCAGCAATGGCTTATAAATGACAGTCATGCAATTAACAAAATGACTAAGCACAGAAMGAAACCATCAGCTCTGAACAGCACAGGGAGGGGGCAGCCATACAAGAGCRTCTGCAGCTTATAGCTCATTAGCTTCCTAAAGGTAAAATCACATGCTTCTCATGGACACCTGGAAATATCTGCCTGGTTTTCAGGAAGAGGAAATTTTTCCTGCCTCCCTATCCTGTTACATATAGGACCCACTACAAGTTAGAAAAACTCACTTAGGACAATAATAGTCATTCTCGCCTTATGGGAAGACCACAGATTTGTATGCAATCCTCATAATAAAATGGAAAACTGGGACCACCAGGACCTTGCTGAACTGTGCCTAACCCACAGTGCATCAGCTGGAGGTGACGTCTACAACAGCGACCACACCCAGCTCCAGTGTAAGGCCCACGTGCAGGACAAGGGCAGCTTCTGAGGATGCTAGGAAAGCCCTCCATGGGGGGTGGAGGGTGCTGATTCAGGCCACTTCAGCTCTCTTTGGGGAGCACAGCACCACTGTGCAACTTCTGGAGACACAGACATAGCACAGTCAAAGGCTCCTCCACCTTAGGGCAACACAACACAGATTACTCACTGCAGCTGCGGCACAATCCCAGAGCTCTCCGAGGCTGGTGTGGCAGGAGTGATGGGAGTCATGGGGGTCATCGGGGAGGGATACAGGGGCGTGGTGCCCGGCAAGGGTGCGGTGGTAAGAGTCTGTGAGTGGAACAGCTGTGGGGTCTGGCCGGAGGCCCCCTGTGCTGGCTGCTGGGGTGCTGACTGCTGCGCTGCTGCGGCCACCACCTGTTGTTGCTGCTGCTGCTGCTGCTGCTGTTGTTGTTGTTGTTGTTGCTGTTGCTGCTGCTGCTGCTGTCTCTGCTGTTCTTCCAAAATAGACAGGCTGTTGGTGTTCTGAATAGGCTGGGGCGTCAGGCCCGTGCCATAAGGCATCATGGGACTAAAAATGGGGATCCCAGGCGTCATGGCACCCTGCAGAGAACAAAGGTGGGGAGAGTCAGGCTGCTATTGCTGAGCATCTGTGAGCCTTCCTGGTGGAGCTGCAGGAGACCATGAAGCAAGATGCTCTAGAAGAGTGAATTGCCAAGTATCACAGGGACGGTACTTGCTATTCTCAGAAATGTGCTTTCTTCCTTAATCCTGGACATAGCAGACCAGAGCTCAGGACTTGGAAACCACTTACCACAAGAGAACCTGAGAGAGTGGCTTAACCTTTGTAGCATGACCAGGGAATAATAATGGTCTCAATTATTAGACAGATGTACCCTTATTTAAAATGCCACTCCAGCACCTGGGGAGCATCTGTTCCCCTATACATGATCAATTATAGTCATTTTAGAGGCATCCACATGACAGGCACACACACCAGAGACACTGAAGTATTACTAAGCAACCACAGAGAGGATTACTAGAACACTACTCARAGGTTGATCATTTGCCCTCCCCAAAATATGAATCAGTACAATCTATCAAATACTATCAGTCTGCTTTTCTACAATGCTGCCAAACTTTTCCAGATATTGTTACATTTATTAATTTATCTGTCTTTCAACAACCCTTTGAGAAAGGGAGAGGAAAGCAGATGAGAACAGAGAAGGTGAGCGACTCACCCAGGTCTAGGCCTCAAAGGCAGATGAGCCACAAATATCACTTATTTCTATAAAAATGCTGACTTGAAAAAAACCCAGGCAACAGACCTTTAAAACACTGAGACCCAGCCCAGTGCTTTCCCCTCACCAAGATCCATAGAGCCTACAAAGCTGGGAACAGCTTTCCAAACCTCAACATMATGTGCAACCCTGTGTTTTTCTGAGAAGAGGGTCCACAGGTTTTATTAGATTATCAAATACATGTGAGACCCAAAAAGAGCAATGATTCTTTCTCATTTCCACCACTTATTTGCCAAAAAGCATAAGATAAATTGTTTTAGCAACATAATGGCAAGAAGAGAATACCAGAAGAGGGCAAGATCTATACTGTGGCCTTAACAGTACAAGTGTAATYCTCCTGCAACTATCACTTATTTCTATAAAAATGCTGACTTGAAAAAAACCCAGGCTATAGACCTTTAAAACACTGAGACTAACTAAGGCTTAGAAGGTCTGCCTTACTTTTTTTTAGTCATATGTAAAAGTTAACATGAAACAAACCAGACATACTTGTAAGGCTAAATCTGTAAGTAGAAAATCTTATGACTTCGGTAAACAAAGTTTTCTTGGGACACAAAAGTGATAACAACAAAGAAAAATTGGTAAATTGTACTTCAGAAAGAATGGAAGACATACAGAATACATGGAGTTCTTACAGCTCAATAAAAGATAACAAAAAACTCATAAAAAAAAATTAGTCAACAAGGTGGAGCAATGGTGCAGCCTATAATCCCAGCCTCTTGGGAGGCTGAGGCAGGAAGATCCCAAGTTCAAAACCTGCTTCAGCAACTTAGTTAGAAGTGTCTCAAAATAAAAAAATTAAAAGGATTGGGGATATAGCTCAGTGGTAGGCTGGGCAGCAGACATTCTATAAATAAAGTATATAACTGGCCAATGAATACTTGACATGATGCTCAAGATTATTAGTCTTCAGGAAAATACATTAAAAACACAAATCTTCCCACAGCTGGGGGTCTGCAGGACAGTGTTTCAGCACACATCTGGTAGCCTCTGAGTAAAAGTGGACACCCGCATACATGGCCACACAATGACACTCTGAGTATCTACCCAAAATAGATAAAAAGTGTACACAAACGTTTATGGCACCTTAACACCCCAAGCTGGAAACAACCAGACGGCAGCAACTAGCAAACAGACAAGGGCGCTGCTTGGCAATAAAAAGGGATCATTCTCCAATACATAAACCATACACGGGGCAAAGAAAAGAGACCAACCAAAGAGACATACTGTGTGACTTCACTTATGTGAGATTTTAGAGCATCTGAGCTTTGTTGCCCCTGGACTGGGCAACAAATATGACGGACATTTTATAAATAAAGATATGTAACTGTCCAATGAATTTTTGACATGATGCTCAAGATTATTAGTCATCAGGAAAACACATTAAAACCTCATGAAATCAGTGCAGAACAATCAGTGCAGAACTGATCTTCAGCACTGAAGTGTAGACTGAGCAGCAACCAGGGCTGGGGAGCAGGAACAAGGGGGCAAAGAGGCAGAGTTTAGGATCAACAAAGTGTTCTAACTTACAGAACTGACTACAAAACACACATTTAAAATGGGTAGGGGTTTTTGTATGTGAACTGTACCTCAAGGAGGTATTTAAAACTAGGAAATAATTCAGGGCTGGGGTTGATCCTCAGCACCACATTAAAAATAAATAAAGTTATTAAAAAAAAAAACTAGGAAATAATTTGGTGAGGGTGACCCTATAATCATTTGTAATATCCTCAGTGTTCATCAAAAGACAAAGTGTTTATACACAAACGTGTAATTCGGCTTCCAAAAAGACTCCCAAGTAAAACACTCCTCTGCCCATTCAAAGCCTAACAGAACTTTTCACAATCCAAAGGAAGTTGCCAACAAAACACAAGCTCATTTTCAGCAACAGTGGTTAAATGGCCCTGGGACTGTGCTGTCCCTTGTGGGCACATGCGCCCTACCCCCTACCTGCTGCATTACCTGGGGGGAGGCCAAGCCCTGGGCATACGGTGGCAGGCTGCTGTTCTGATCCATGATGCGCACTTTCTTCAGCACCCGATCTGTTTCTGGAGCATTCCCAGCACACTCTTCTTGGCAACTTCTCAATGCTCTGGGTTACTCTCACACACGGAAAAACAGCGATGCTCCTTGGAAAAGTTTCAAGCTTAATGTTAAGAGCACAGGTAACCTGTCTTGTCTTATAACCACAGTTCTGTGGTTACCCAAACACAAATAAGAAAACCAACACAAGCCTACAGCCTTTTGTTCTATTACATGATTAATTTAAATAGTCTGACAGTACTCAAAATTAAGGMGTCATAACCAACATTAAAAACTAATGAGGAAAAACATCTCAAAAAAATATTGCTAAGCAAACTGTCCTATCAGAGCAGAACATTTATTAAGCATTACATATACATAGCAAGTGTAGTATATAGTGTATACAGAAGCTAAGTTCAAGTTCAGGTTTTTAAATATTTTACCCAATTTTATATCCTCCACAGTGTCTTGGGCATAAGATCCAATAAATATTGAATTAAACCCAATATTTTTTAGGGTCTTTTTTTGAGCTCCTACTTTAATCAAAGATTGTAGAAATTGTGTGATACATCAAAGTAAAAATACTGTATTGGTATCAATGTCATAATCTTAACCAGGGGCTGGGAATGTGGCTCAGGCGGTAGCGCGCTGGTCTGGCATGCGTGCGGCCCGGGTTCGATCCTCAGCACTACATACCAACAAAGATGTTGTGTCCGCCGAGAACTAAAAAAAATAAATAAATATTTAAAAAAAAATAATAATCTTAACCAGGCTTCACTCATGACAGGGAAGCACTCTCAATTGAGCTACATTCCCAGTCCTTAAGACTGTGGCCTGTTTAAATGGGTCCACAAATTATCCAGTGTTGCTGTGAGAACTGACTGAATCAACACAGAATTGACTGAGTTAACAGATCAAAATATACCTAGTTATACAGTAAGCACAGACCAAATGTTAACTACTACTACAATAATCCAGTCCAAACATTTATTATCATCTAATAAGATATTCTTGCACAGAACTAATAGGTCTCAAAGCTGTATGTCCAAAGACCCATGTAATAGTCAATTGGAATTGTCAAATTGATTGGCTTAAGAGATGCCAAGTATTGAGAGGACTATGGGTGTGTCAGTGAGGGTATGTCTAGGAATGACTGGCATGTGAGACAGCCAACTGAAATGGACATCCTCCCTAAGCGTGGGCACCACCAACCAATAGGATGATGGCTTAGATGGAATAAAAGTTGGAAGAACAAGGAATCACCAAGATATGCAAGCTTGATTCTTGAATGGATTTTTGACTGCTGCTGTGTTCTGCTAGTGATTACCCAGAAGCCTTCATTCTTGAGGTAAACTGTTCATTCCTCTTGTTCTGGGGCTTCAGCCTCTTGGACTGTGCGGCTACTGGTTCTTCCAGCTCTCTGGCATTGTGGACTACTCAGCTTCTGATTGTGTGAACCAACCTAATAAGTCCCCTTTTTATAATTATACTTCCTGTTGATTCTGTTCCTCTAGAGAACCCTAATACAACCCACATTCACTTAAAGTATGTGCTGGTACAGAGTAGGCACTAAGATATTTGCTAAAGCAATGAATAATTGGACCCCCAAAGACTACTTATCCTACAAACTCATCATTGAAAAATCTAATCAAAGAAAGCAAGCAAGAGCTCTACTTCTGAAAATGAATACATCAGAGGTATAAGAAAATTATGTTTTCTGAATTTGTTACTTTATCACAATAAAAGTGCTGCATAAAAGATATTAAGATGGAGGGGACATAGGCCCTGGCATCAAATAGTTCAACATGAAGAGCATGCAAATAAGTACTATAAAAACTTGGTAAGCCCAGCAGAGAGTATGCCCCAAGTAAGCTAAGATTCTTGAGAGCAGAAACCAGCACATTATGTCTTTGAAATCTCCACACCTATCTCTGTGCCTGGCATATGGTGCGTGATTGTGAATGAATGCACATCCTCTGTGGAAGAGAAGACAACATAGGCTAAAATCAAGTACTCTGAAGAGAGGTCATTGTTTTCACAAAGCAGGAATCATCTAACTGTGTCAAGCAAGGCAAGTAGAACTTTTCAGTCAAAAGAAATGAAGCACAGAGACAAAAATAGAAAAGCATGCAGAGTGCGAGTGACAAGGTTAGCATTAGGCTGTATGGAACGTCACTGCAGGAGATGAGACAGCAGCCATAGGAGGTCATGCTACCAGAGTTTAGATGTTATTACATACATAGGCAGTAAGAACAGTTACAGGATTTCAAAGTGCAGCATGAATTAGATCTACTTTGCAAGTGTGGTTAAATCTGAGAAGAGAAAACTGAAGACTGAAAATTCACTTCAAAGAGTCAGTGCTATGGTTGAGTAGAGAGGTAATGAAAGTAGAATTTAAAGCCCTACATATGATGCACTTATCTGGAACCTCTGCTGTCTCCAGACCACTTTTTGCGCACTAAAAGTCTCCAGAAGGAACGGTTTGGTTACTGAAGGTTAGGGACGTGAGCAAACTATTCAGAGCTCACTTCTCAACARTGGCACAGACCATTTTTCCTCACCTGTACCATACAATCGCACGTTGAGTACTGCACTTATCCATCTTCTCATGGAAACCGGAGTATTAAATTAGGTATTTCTGGGAAGTGATCAAATTAATTCTGCACAGCCTTCTAGCTTTGTCTGGATAACTCAGACATAAATCTCTTCCCAAACAAGCCTACCCCATGTTTTCAGAACCCATGCTGGCTTGATGGAGACCTTGTGAAGAAAGTGGCGTGTTTCTTTCTCAAGTTGTTTAGGTCTGGAGCATGACTTCGCAACAAACCCACCCTGTGGCAGCAAAGCGGGCGGGCTCCGGCAGGTGAATCTGCCCTCTGGCCAGCGGCAGCGTAGGGCAGGCAGACCTGCGTCCTCGATGCTCCCTGCACCCCGCGCTCGGCCCACGGTTARCAGCAGAGCCGGTACTGGGCTGCAGCCGCGGCCGAGCGGCCGGTACAGGCGTGAGGGGCCGCAGCACGAGCGGAGCAACGGCCCCGCGGGCCTGCGCGCCCGCCCGGCGAGACGCCCGTCGCGGTCTCGGGCCTCGCTGTCGGGGTTGCCTTCGCCCAAGCCCTCGGGAAGGAGGGAAAGCTGAGCGGGCTGTTACCTGAGTCACTGCAGAGACAACGACGCACCTCCGCCAACGAAGTTCAGCCGCAAGTGGCCCCGGCGCCCGCCACGGCGACCCAGGCCGACCCCACTAAACTCCCGGCGCGCGTTGATAATGTCACTTCCGCCAGTCCCTTCTTCGGCTTCAGCGGGTTGCGCGCGCGGCGTCAACGGGAGGCGTGGAAGTCGGTCACTTCCGTCGTTTCTCCAGGAGTTTGACGAAAGGGAAACGCCGGGCGGAGCTCTTTGGTAGTTCCGGGACAGGGCGGGGCGAGGCGGGGTCGTCTTGCCAGAACCTTTTCTAATTGGTCCTTGCCGGACGCGGGAAGAATACTGGTTTTTAAATGTTGGATTTCTTTCTTTTCTTTTTTTAACCAACTAGCGGTGTACCCTTTCGAAGCTAACAACTCCAACTCGGTGTCTTCTGCAAAGYTGGGTAATCATAATCATAGAACTTGCCCGTTAGAGTTGTGAGTTTGCGTGAATCATGAGCAGTGCGTGGCAAATGGCACTCACGTATTCCTTACCAAGTTCGCAAATGCGARCTTGCAGAATGAGGAAAAACAGAAGCAGATGGCGTGTACTCACACATTCATTTATATTTTAATTCTACTACTACCACCTCGTGCGCTCCTCACTCTTTGTGGTTGTCACAAGATATGATCTATTGCTGCTTCCTGATACTAGGCATATTCATATATTATGTTGTTTGCTTATCTGCTTCCTTTGTATTTCTAATTATCAGTAAGGTTGTGTGTTCTTTAAGAGTGAGAAATTGTACTTAAAATAAGTACCCAGGACAGAACCTGGCACCTTGTTAACCTGTGGAGGACTAGAATAAGCAGAATGGTGATCTGCTCGGGCCATGACCATTAAGGAAAATCCTTTGTTTTATTATATGGTAAAACAYGAGAAAAGGTTTTAAACAAGTACTTTTTAAAAAAATCTTTGGGTAGGGCGCCGTGGTGCACGCCTGTTATCACAGCGGCTCGGGAGGCTGAGACAGAATCGCGGGTTCAAAGCCAGCCTCGGCAAAAGCGAGGCACTAAACAACTGAGACCCTGTCTCTAAATAAAATACAGAATAGGGTTGGGGATGTGGCTCAGTGGTTGAGTGCTCCCGAGTTCAATCCCCGGACCCGCCTGGTCCCAAAAAGAAATCTTTCTGGTTCCAGAATTGCATGTGCTTATTAGGTAGTCCATCCTACATTAGTTCATTACTTGCTTGTGGGCTTGCATGTAGGATTGAAAATATAATTTGTGTAAGTAAGTGCATAAGAACGTGTGCAGTTTAACACACAGAATACCACYGGCAAGCAACACCCTCCCACACGCCGGCCAAACGGCCCACCTACTCTGCACGCCAGTGGTGTCGCCCGTATTGTTAGGGTTAGGGGCGCACGTGTGTCTTTCCTGTGTTTCCCAACTAGCCGAAGTCGCCCCGTTTATTTGGAGTGACATATCTCATTTTATGGTGGCTCCTCGGTTAATCAGTCACTCCGCTTTTCATGGCCTTCAGCTGGTGCGGTCTGAGGCCTTTCAGAAAGCTGCGGCCTGACTACGTGTGCATCTGGGGCCGGGTCCTCTACCGCCRAGGGGGCCTTCAAGTTGCCGCTGCTCCATCGTTTGGCCAGATTTTTGGTGTGGCCAGACTCTCAATTTGGCCCGCCAAGAGTGAACTCGAATGTTTTCTTTTTCTGAAGGAAAAAAATTTTAGTCTCATCAGCCCTGCAAGACAGGCGGCGCGGACCTCCAGGAGCAAAGAGAGGCGCCGGGTAGAGGCGCCCGCGGAAGCCGGAAGCGGCGCGACTTCCGGCCGGGCCGCCATCTCGTCGTGAGACAGCACTAGCCGTGCCGCGCGATGTCGTCCGCAGTCTCGACCTGGGGTTGCGGCGGGCAGCCGGAGATGGAGGCGCTGGGCCCCGCGGGTCCCTGGCGGCTGCGCTTCTCGCCCTACGCCTTCAACGGAGGGTAACGCCCGGCGGCGGCGGCGGCGGGAGCGGTGGGCCTGAGGGCGCGCGGGGAGCTCGGGCTCTTGGCCCGGGATCGGGGGAAGCTACGTGGGCTCTCGGGCCGCGCTCGGGGCCTGGTGCTGTCGGAATGCCCGCTGGGTCTTCAGCAGTGCTTGCCCTGGTGGGCGTGGGTTTCTTGACGGCCGATCGCTGTCGATTGACGCCGCCTTGAGTGTATCAGCCGTTTCTCACTGACGACGGTTCTTGGTTTGGTTTTGCCGCTGGGCACTGGACCCGGGGGCTCGACCGCTGAGCCACACCCCCAGCCCTGTTTATTTTTTGGTATGATCTGCTAAGTTGCCCAGGCTGGCCTCGAACTTTGGATCCTTCTGCCCTAGTGTCCGTAGTCGCTGGGATGACAGGCGTGCAGATGGTTCTTTAGAAAAAAACACCCAATCAGGTCCTTAATTAACTTGAAATACTGAATGTGAGAGTGTGTTAAGACCGTGAAGAATCAGTTTTAGTTTTGGTCATGCTACTGAAGAGCAATGTGGTCTTTGGGTACTTCTTCGTTTCTTTTTTTTTTTTTTCTTTTGGTGGGGGGGCGCTGCCAGGGATTGAACTCGGTTGGGGGGGGGCTCGACCACAGAGCCACATCCCCACCCTATTTTGTATTTTATTTAGAGAGGGTCTCCCTGAGTTTGCTTAGCGCCTCCCTGGTTGCTGAAGCTGGCTTTGAACTTGGGTCCTCATGCCTCAGCCTCCTGAGCCACTGGGATTATAGGTGCCTGGCTACCTTTTCATTTCTCAAACTTAAATTTATTTTTGTTCCTTAGCTACTTAGTATTTCTGGGGAGAATCAAAGACATTTTGTGACGTACCAGCAATGATCATATTCAGTTCTCAGGATCAGTAAATATTAGATGATATTTAGACCTGTGAGGCTCTTGGAAGTTAAAGACCTTGTGTGAATTGAGTCAGGACTTGAATTCAGAATTCTGTCATCACTGGGTTTGTTTACTTTTCCATTGCACTCATTAACATGTCATGTGATGATTCATATTATAAAGTGAATTGTCAGACCCATTTCATAAAACTGTTATAATTCTTTTTTTGGTTTTTTTTTTTTTTTTGTATTCTACACACCAGCCTCCCCCCCCCCTTCCATTTAGAGTCAGGCTCTTGCCAAGTTGCTTAGCCTTGTTAAATTGCTGAGGCTGGACTTGAACTTGGGGATCCTTCTGCCTCAACCTCCTGAGCCGCTGCGATTACAGGCATGTGCCACTGCTCCCTGCATAAATTCTTGATAATAGAATTTCAGTTCTCATTCACTTTTTTACCCCTTGTCATCCAGTTTAACTTATAATCCAGTTAAAGCTATTACTCTTCTAAGATTTATAATCTTTTGATTATTACATTGTCACCCATTCTCAATCTTTAGCATGTATTGCKGCTGGCTTTCAGGCAGCCTCTGCTTCTACAAAATGAGTTTTATTTCTATTAATTTTTAGCCTCCAAGTCCTTAGCAGTCACATGTCCCATACCTGGGAGTATAATTTCCAAGACTTTTTCTCCAGTTCTACTTCTCATAAGTTCCTCAATTCTGTTTGTTTGTTGTTGTTGTTGTTTTCCTGTAAAACATTTATGCCTTGATTTTTCTATTCTCACCATCTGAGGAGAGTAAGCAAAACAAGCTAATTATTCTTTTTAACCACATCACCTCCTTTAGATGTGCAGCATAGTTATGTCATTATTCTGCTTCTGTAAAATCATGGATGTCATAATGGGTTTTTCCAGCTCTGCATTTCAGTCCATTGTGTGTGTGTGTGTGTGTGTGTGTGTGTGTTGTTTGGGGTGCATCCCCTTTTCTCCTCTTTACCCTGCTTCCCTCCCATTGCATTACTTGTTCTGGAGCATGTTTCTGTCCTGTTTTACATTGTGGGGTTGTCAGAGTAGTCATCAAACCCTTTTGTGCAAATTGGACTTTTTTCATTCTTGCTCAGATAATCTTCACAGTACCTTGCTAAAATTCAAAATATTTTTTTTTATAAATTCATAAGTCTTTAGCTTGACATTTGGGCCCTTCCACAGCAGGATCCCTGTCCATCATGCAGGAATATGTCTCTCCACTCTCTTGCACTAAAATGGCCACCTGAATGGTTGTTTTCATGTACTATGTAACTATTAGCTGTTTCCCTTTGCTTGCTAATCCCTGGAATGCATCCTTTTCTACTTTGAAACTTTAGTGAAAACCTTACTCAGTAAAATAGGACCTCAAGTTTTCCAAGTACTGTATTCTGGAAGGCACTATGCTAGGTGCTGTGACTTTTTAGTTTTATTTTTTGGCACCACTGGGTCTTGCACATGCTCACAAGCACTCTACCACTGAGCTACATCCTCAACCCTRGGTGTTTAGTGTGGATTGTGTTCATTTAATTCTCAAAGATACCCTGTAACACAGGCACTGCTATTGTCATTAACTTGAACCTGGAGAATTTGTCTAAGGTCACAGAAGTGTTGGGTGACAAGTGAAGATCTCTGCCTCCAGTAATTCCAGAACCCAGGTGCTTAGTCATCTTACTCTCATTCAAGCATATGCCACTGCAGTCATAGCTCACATCGAGTAGAGGAGCAGTGCTGCATAGTCACTGTTATAAGGGCTTTACAACTGTCAGCTCACTTAACCCTTGCCAATACCCAACAAGACTATGACTTATAGCTCTGCTGTAAAAACGGAAATTGGGGCCTTGAGAAGCTAAATAACATACCCAGCAGCCTTGTATCTGCTAAGTTGGAGAGTCAGAATTAGGACCCAGGTCTGCTTTTGGAGTTTGTGCTTTAAGCATCTTAGGGGAAATTTGCTGTCTGTCCACTCGTCAGCAAGTACCCAAGTGTCTGCTGTGTGCAAGACATTAGATACTCTTGGCACATGAAGATGCACTGCTCCCTTCTGCTGAACTGAGGTTGTATTGTTGTGCCGCTATCTATACCTGGTCCTCATTTCATCATTTTATAATGTCAGGGTTTTTAAACTACAACCTTGCATTAGTAAGGTTTCTGATTTGATGATGATGATAATTCAGTGGCTTTCTCATTTATTCCTGTCAGGGAGCCTTTGCTTGAATTTGGGATGATTAGGGTTTTT